GATCCCTGGTCCAGGCAGCAGTGACTCAGCAACCGGCCTCGGTGGACACGTACCCCGGAGGCACCGCCATCATCACCTGCTCTGGTGGTAGCAGCAGCAGTGATTATGGCATCAGCAACTATGCCTGGTTCCAGCAGAAACCTGGTGGTGCCCCAGTCCCTGTGATCTATAACAACAACCAGAGACCCTCGGGCATCCCGGCGAGATTCTCTGGTTCTGCATCTGGCTCCACGGCCACCTTAACCATCACTGGGGTGCAAGCCGAGGACGAGGCCGTCTATTACTGTGGTGCTTATACTGGTGGTAATACTGGTGACTCGATGGAAGCAAAGGACAGGGAAGTGTGACACAAATGTCCTATGATCATAGGAGCTCTAAAGGAGTGTCTATTACTCATATTATAGTTGCAGAGGACTCGCCGCAGCCCTCCCAGGTCTGCCCATGGTCTTTTGTGGTTTTGTGTAGCTGTAGCCGGAGGACAAGTCAAGTCCGTGTAAAGCTGCACCCACAAACTAGGAAGGAAGGGGAAGGAACCAGGAGCAAAAGTCAGTGCAGCAAGAGGAGTATGCAGGTGCTGGACAAGGGAAGCGCAGGAGCTGCTGAGATTGGATCCAACTTGCTACTCAGTGACAAGCGTCTCCTTCAACCCCCTGCGTCATAGCAAGATGAATAGTGAACATGGTGGGGGTCCTGTCCCCTGGGGGGATTCCAGGGAAGGGCTCTTCACAGCCTCTCTGGATTTCCTTGGCCAGGCCTTGAGCTCCTTCAGGGGAGAACAATCTTCTTTTCACAAGTATATGGAACTTTGTGTATTTTCTGTCACTCTTATTATGGTCACCTCCACCTGCTTTCTATTCTTTCTCTTGTGCCTCTGCAGGTTCCCTGGAGTTGGCAGCTCTGGAGCCGCTGGCTTCTTTATCCCTGTGAAAAACTGCCCATGTCACCTGCTCTGGAGGTGACAGCGGCTGGGATTATGGCTGGTACCAGCAGAAACCTGGTGGTGCCCCAGTCCCTGTGATATATAAAGACAACCAGAGACCCTCGGGCATCCCTGCACGATTCTCCGGTTCCGCGTCTGGCTCCACGGCCACCTTAACCATCAGTGGGGTGCAAGCCGAGGACGAGGCTGTCTACTACTGTTAATGCTGACAGCAGTGATACTGGTGCTTTGGGGACACTGCAGCAGGCAAGTGAGACACAAATCTCCCACGGCTGCAGGAGCTTTTGGTCCGGTGTCCCCGGGTGATGGTCATGCAGGTCCCACCACTGTCCTCTCTGGTCTCGTGACTCACCCGATCTTTAGGGCCCTGGGGCTCTGCTCTGTGGTCTGTCTGGCCCTGCCTGCCCCTTCCTTTGTCCCCTGTTGTCCCCTGGGTGTCCCTGTAGAGGGATATCCACTAGCAGGATATCCCATTCCCTCTGCAAAACGGTGGGCGCACGATCCAACCCGGCCTCTTCAATGCCTCGTGTAAGTCACACAGTTTTCAGAGGAAGGATGAGCTGCTGGCAGCGCCGGGCAGCTGGTCCTCCTGAAGGGCTGTAGCCTGCAGGCTGGCAGCCCTGCCCACCGTCCTGCTCGTGCTGCCCCAGCTCTCCTGGATATCTCCTGCAGAGCGCCCACATGGGCCAGACCCCCATCCAAGGGTGCAGGGCGGGAGAGCTCAAGGCTGCAGCACTGGGCAGAGGCTCCTTCTGCCCTCTCTCCTCTCCCTCTGCAGGATCCCTGGTCCAGGCAGCAGTGACTCAGCCGGCCTCGGTGGACGTGTCCCTGGGAGGCACCGCCACCATCACCTGCTCTGGTGCTAGCAGTGGCTATGGTTAGGCCTGGTATCAACAGAAACCTGGTGGTGCCCCAGTCCCTGTGATATATGTTAACGACAAGAGACCCTCGGGCATCCCGGCGAGATTCTCCGGTTCCAAGTCTGGCTCCACGGCCACCTTAACCATCACTGGGGTGCAAGCCGAGGA